AAACTTGTATATTTGACATTATGAAGGAAAAGAATTCCATTCCTCAAACAGCCTTTATGCCATAAGCAGAGACAATTACATGACTCAAAACTGTGAACTCACTTGCCAGTTTTTTTTTAATAGATTTTTATTGCTCTCAGAGAGGGTGAGGGAGAGAGAAATAGAAACAACATCAATGATAAGAATCTATTCAGGACCTATTGTGTGCACTTACAGCAATCACAGAAGCAACCTAACAATAGGCAGTGTTGAAAATTATTATTACTCTACTGTCATGCCCTATTTTTAAAATTAGACCACAACTTTTATAATAAAAAATTATAATTTAAAGAATATTTAAGGTTTATTAACATATTCCAGAAATTTAATATATGATGCTAGCTTCAGCCCCAGCTTTGGTCAAATACTGGCTTTCACACTTGGATATTAGGCATTTAAAAAATGTATATTTGGTGCAATATATTTATACAGTTAAAAGAGGTAGGTATTTCTTATTCATTTTCATTTTTATTTGCTTACCCAAACTATAATTTTTAAGCAGACTCCTATGTTCTCCAAGGGTAGAAATCAACCCACGACCTTCTTTATGGGCCAGTATAGAAGTTATAAAGAACTCAACCCCACACATGTACCAGTGATCTAACAATAATTTATTGTCAGTTCTTCTGATCTCTATGCATTTTCAATGAATTCCCTTAACAGACTGAAACTTGTGTTTTTTATAGCTAAAAATTTGCAGACTTAAGTTATATTCCATATTCTCTTGAATTATATGAAAAATCCATATTCTTTATAAATTCAATTTTTAATGCTTTAGATTCAGAAAAATGCTGTCATATAAGATGAATTTTAATGACTAGGATGAAATTATCTGTGATCAAATAATACCTCAAAAAATACAAAAACCCAAAGCACTTAAGTGTCCAAAACCCAACCCAGCATCTGACAGCAGATTTACTATCATTAGGAGGCAATGGAAGCAACAGAGAGGACTGAAACTGAATGCCACAGACACAGACTGTGTTTCTCACTCAGCTGTTTAGTCACCTTGGACAAGTTATTTACTCTCTGAATCTGTTTCCTAAACTATAAAATGAACACATTAATATCTATTTTGTCATATGGACCAAATGAATTAAAGTATGTGAGTTATAAACAACAATATATGTAAAACACTGAGTATCATGAGTTCTAAACCTAGGTTTTAAATTTTTCTATCACTTTTATAATAGACTAGAGGCCTGGTGCATGAAATTTCATGCACTGAGGGGGGGGAGGGGTCCCTCAGCCTGGCCTGCACCCTCTCGCAGTCTGGGACCCCTTGCTCCTTACTGTCTGCCTGCAGGGGAGACAAGAGAGGCTCCCACCACTGCCACTGTGCTTGCCAGCTGTGAGCCTGGCTTCTGGCTGAGTGGCGCTCTCTCTGTGGGAGCGCACTGACTACCAGGGGGCAGCTCCTGTGTTGAGTGTCTGCCCCCTGGTTGTCATTGTGCATCATAGCGACAGGTCGTTCTACTGTTCAGTCGATTTCCTATTGGGGTTTTATTATATAGGATTGTTGGTTTTCATAATGGTTTTATGTATAATTTAAATGATAATTAACTTAGGACTCCTTTTAAAAGCTCCATGGAATTTGTTTTGGTCATTTATTTGCCACTCAAGAATGTGGCTATGACTTGTGAAAGTTTAAGTATTAAAACAGTTCATTTAAAGTGTTAAGCCATGAATTTACATTATAAACAAAGAAAAGTAACATATGTAATTTTATAACAGAGAAAGGTTGCTCTGTGCAAGAGTAATAATAATCTATTGAAATTGCTTTTGCTGATGTCATCCAATATGACTACTGTCTGGACATCAGCAGTCAAGTATATCTTCCAGGACACAAACACTGCAAAAAAGATTGGAAATAAGAATGCCCTCAGGCTCTGGCCAGTGTGCAGCTCAAGATTGCTGATTCAATTCCCAGTCAGAGCACATGCCTGGGTTGTAGGCTCCATCCCCAGTAGGGGGTGTGCAGGAGGCAGCCGATCAATGCTCTCACATCAATGTTTCTCTCTCCCCCTTCCTTCCTCTTTCTCTAAAAATCAATAAAAGTATTTTTTAAAATGCCCTCAGAAATTTCAACCATAAACCAAAACAAGATGAACCAGAAGAGAGATTAGGAAGTCAGACACACAGACCAAGTAAAAAGATGACTACCTAAAATTTAAGGTATTAACATGCAAATGAAAAGAAATTTACCTGTCAGAAACGAGGACTGGTTAGTAATGAAAGTGATGAAAAGGAAACATGGGAAGACAAATGTGGCCAGTGCCCAGGGAAGCACTGCCTAGGAGTGAAGATATCCTATAAGGCACATGGGAGCAAGAATCTACTTGGCAGACATGAGATGGAAATACCACTTTATCTGAGCCTAATGCCATTTAAAATCAGTCATTTATAACCAACTGCCTTGTTCTAATCCCATGCTCTTGTTTATTAGGCACCTTTTAATAATTTAGTTTTTCAAGTATCATTCTACATGAAGAGAATATACTCCCTTATACAAGCTTGAGCTCTGGAGTTAGATTATTTGAGTTCCCACTGATTTACTCTGTGACCCTGGAAAATTTAGCAACCTCTTAGTCTGTTTCTTCATTTGCAAAGATGGAGACTACTTCCTTGGGTTGTTGTGAAGATTAAATAATTCATGTATAGCACCTAGAACCTGTCATACACTTTAGCACCAAGTAAATGTTAGTCATTGTTATTATTTTTGAGGATGAATTAACATCCCCAAGTCTGATAAGCTATGAGACTGATCAATTTCTGAATCTGAAAAACTAACGCAGGACCACTATGTTGTACAAATCCAGGGGACACCTATGAACAAAAGAATACGCTGGAAGCCTTAGAGTGGAGGCTTGACCTGGTGAATTCAAAGTCACCATCTCTGTGAGGGTTTTCAGGTAGCTAGACTGTCAGTCTGTCCAGGTGAAAACTTCACTGTGCAACAAGTGGTCAGTAAGGTCACCTAATGAGTGAAGCCGACCTTGCTCAGGTGCTGAGTTTGCAGAGAAAGTGTGAGCGATAGTACAGTGGAGGTTGGAGAACACAAGTCAAGCCTGATGGCGTTCAAACACAAATATTTGGAAGCATTCATGTCAGGAAAACCACATTGTGGGCAGATTTTAGGCCTGAAACCCACCTGCTTGCAAATCCTGCAAC